AAGAAGAAGAAGAAGAAGAAGAAGAAGAAGAAGAAGAAGAAGAAGAATAGACTAATATAGCTGGAAGGGAACTTGGAGGTCTTCTAGTCCAACCGCCTGCTCAGGCAGGAGACCCCATACCATTTCAGACAAATGGCTGTCCAGTCTCTATTTGAAAACCTCCAGTGATTGAAAACCGTCCAGCTGTCGGCAAAGAGTATGAATCCTTCCATTCCCCACCATCTAGTCAGAGCTGAAGAAGCTTCAAAGAAAAGCAAAGAAAGTCCATTTGCCTCTTGAAAAAAAAAAAAGCACCAGGACCTGGATGACTGAGAATCTCCACAGACCTCCAGTGATGGGGCACCCACAACTTCTGGTGGCAAAGTGCATCCATTGATTCACTGTTCTTCTCCCTGTCAGGAAATTTCTCCTTAGTTCTAGGTTTCTCCTCTCCTGGATTAGTTTGAGCAACTTGGACCCTTCCATGTGTTCCTCCCCAAACCGATTCAGAAGTTTGAATGGAATTAACGCAATTTGGAAAAAAATGAAATTGGATCGATATTTTCAATAAGAACTGAGAGGAACTGCACACCTCCAACACCCAAAAGCCATCACTGTCGATCAACTTGAATGGCCAGGCCACTTTCAGAACATGCTATGATATCTTGTGATCCCAGAATAATAAATCCACCAGAGTGGCCTTGGCAGAAAATCCCAAAAAGAAATGAGGGAAGACACAAGAGGAAGGAGATGAGGTGCAGGGATTACTTGTGGCTGTTTCTAACTTCGACTCCCCTTCATGCAAAGTTATTTTTCCCAAGAAACGCCCCTCATTGCTAAGAGACAGAAACTCACCTGGAGAACACCTAAGTAAAAGTTTATGTCAGGGCTCTAAGTAACACATCCACATCAAGGAGAACTCCGAGGCAGGCATTTTCCTCAAAGAACAATTTATTGGGCTATATCATATTGGCACAAACCTGGTGAAAATCGGCTCTAACATTCCTGCCGATTTTCACCTAAAAGTCTACTCCTTCCTCACCCTGCATGGATGTCCTTGGTTCCCAGGGGAAAGAATTTTATTTTGGCTACAACCACCCAACTATCTCTACTTCCACACCCACTTCCTCTTGGGTCTAGTCCGTGTCAGCACTGAAGCAACAAGAGAAAATGAAAATGGCCTCAGTCAGGCCAGCAGAGAAAGTGATTTGAAGTTATCTTTCTACAACCCTGCCGAAGATTTGTTCCAAATCTGCTATGGTTGACCTTTTAGTGCATCAAAGAAAACTTGGCTTTGACTTCTAATGCCATCCAGAGCCGTCCCTGGGTTCTGCTTTTAGGCCTACCCTGGAGTTCTGCACTTCAGAGCAAGGTTTTTCTAGGCCTCATATTTCAAACAAAACCTTTTGAAGGTTGTGCAGAGAATTTCATGACCAGGGGCCTTTATCAAGAGTATGTTGTGTGGTCTGTTCTAAATGAATTGTGCAGAAGACACTGCCTCAAATGTGTTTTTAATAGGATGGTTATTGGACATTCAATAGCAAGTGAACCTCAAAATCACAGATGCATATCTATTATGCTGTGGATAATCCTCAACGGAGCTGCTTTCTTAACTAATTATCTCTTAGTTAATGAACATACAATAACTAATAAAACTTAAAAAGGAAGCCTTTAATTGCTCTACTGTTAGCCTACTAATTAAAAATATTTGTTAAGCTTAAGCAGATAGTAATCTATTCTTGGCCTTTCAGGTTTGGTACATCTTGAGGGAGTTTTTGATTTAAAACAGTTGGAAACAAACCCCTGTCATTTTTCAGGACATGGGAAGGGTGTTACTGGAGACCTGAGAATTGTGTTGGGGAAAGTAAGAAGAGAGAGAGGGAGAGGAAGGGAGGGAAGGGGAGAAGGAAAGAAAAATAAAAGCTATTATTGTTAAACAAAAATGATCCCTCGATAATGAAGGAAAGCTGCTTCTTTCCCTCTCTATCATTTGAAAGCGATCAAGAGATCTATTTTGTGCAGGGTATCGCTAGCAAAAAACTGGGGGTGGTGCAAACTATTGGTAACAATGAACACAGCTTGCAGTTTTATTATGTGTATCGGTAGGATCACATTTTGGTGAAAGAAAAGACTTTAAAAACTGTATATAAGGGCACAAAAATGAAAGTTATACCCTGTCAACCTGATGAGATAGATCAGATCAGAAAACTGACTCCACATATAACATAAGGCTATAGTAATAGAATTTTGCAAATCTGGCTGTATCCTTCCTTCTTACATCCCAGGAAGTCAGGGAAAGTCTTTTTCTAGTACTTTCCTGCTTCTCTGGGCTTAACGCATGCTTCTTACTGTTGGCTGGCCTAACACCTTTGAGATGCCTTCTCCAAGTTCATCTCCATGGCTCCCTACATATTTCCAGATCTAAACATGGTTAGAAGGAATGTTATTGCACCTTTCCATCTAACAGGGATATAGTGTAACATTTGCTAGCCCAGGAGTATCCCATGGTTCTCTTTTAGGTCTAAGGTCCACAGTCAAGTTATTCAGTCTTTTTCATTTACGGAAAAAGAGCTAACCATACATAGGAATCAACACACGTAAAACAGCAATAAGTTTCCTAGAAAGGGATCCAGTCAACATATATAACACACATCAGCCTAGTTAGGAAAAGAACAGTGTAGTGGCCTATTGGTAAAGATGCTGGCTTTCCATTCAGAAAGTTGAGAGTTCAATCCTAGGTAGCAGCAGATTTTTCTCTCTTATGACGCAAAGAAAAAAAAGAAATCTGCTGTGAATTCTGAGTAGGCGTTAGGAAGGGTATCTGGTCAGTAAATACTCAGCTCCATCCATTCACCCTGACTCTACTCTGAATTAAGGGATGGCAAATGGTAAAAGGGAAGTTAGTCTTATTAGAAATAGTTGTCTAACAAGAATCTGCTGACTCTTGATTCTTCTGAAAGACATAATTCCCTTGTGCCACACCTTTTTTTTTTCAGATACAAGATAAATCTGTACAAGTATTACATGTCAATCATTATTATGTGCTCTAATGTGCCCTTTGAATTAAACATAAGCTCAAGGACTTGATAGTGAAGTCATGTAGGTAAGATACCTGTATAACAAGTTGTTTTTTTTACTGAGTGTGTGTTATCATGCTAACCCATTATAGCACTTAGCATTTAAACTTATATACGCTTCACAGTGCTTTACAGCCCTAAGTGGTTTAGAGTCAACCTCTTGCCCCCCCAAAATCTGGGTCCTCATTTTACCCACTTTGGAAGGATGGAAGACTGAGTCAACCTTGAGCCAGTGAGATTCAAGCTGCAAGATTCAAACTTCTGGCAGCCGGCAGTCAGCAGAAGTAGTCTGCAATACTGCATTCTAACCACAGCGCCATCACCACTCATTATACAAACTGCTTTTCTGATAGGATGGGGTATGAACCCGGCATTGTGGTCTGTAAGCAGTATTTATGGCTTAGTCCAATATACAATGCCTGCCAACTTTGGCTTATTCAACAAAAGTTGTAATCATGGCTTAGCCTCATATGGGCACTGTCATTCAGATGTTACCGGCTATCGTAAGGTAATCCTGGGTACAAAATAAACTCCTCTTCAGCATGAAAGACAGTCGTGGCTATCTTTTGCTATAATATATGCTAGTGGCCTCTTCTTTGCACATAAACAGATCCATTTTTCAACGATGTAATCAGTCTGCTTCTATTAAGCTACTTAACAGCAATGAGTTGTGGTTCATTAGGTAGCTACTGTTGTGTCTCTGTCTAGTTAAAATTTCACAGCGAGTTAATCTATTTTATTACAAATGAGAACACATGCAATCATGTTCCTGGCATTTTCCAAACACAGGGTTAACAGTATTTGTAACAAATCAATGAGGACATTGCAATTGGAAAATGGCAGTTCTGATAGGCAAAGCATCTTTACCCACTGATGACTTTATTTTTTGCTGTTTGTGGATTTTACAGCTCCCTACCACTCTCTCTCTCTCTCTCTCTCTCTCTCTCTCTCTCTCTCTGTGCCTGTGTGTGTGTTAAAGGTAGGGTTTCCAACTCAGATTAAGCCAGCTTTGCAAAGGTTGTATTGTTACTGGGGAAGGGCGAAATATTTATGTGATCAGAACAAAAGCCACAGTATAGATTTTCATTGCTCTCGAAGGACCGAAGAGCACTTAAAATGCCAATTATTGGTCCAGTATAGTCTGGACATCCAGAGCTTTAACTGTCTGTGGATATAGAGCTGACCACTAACATAGATATCTACATCATCTTGGATTCATTTTGTAAGTTAGTCTCTTTGAGATATATTGATTCAAAAAAATGTTGCCTTATGATGCACTGTTTTGTCCAACTGAGGGCTACAAAGGTATGAGTTTTAATATTTGCACCATTGAGGTGACTGTGATGACACAGATAAACCTCCAGGTGACCTTAATGACCCACTAAAAGGATGCAAATGACCAGCTGTCTGCAAGAAGTATAAATCCTTCCATTCCTCACCTTCCAGTCAGAGTTGAAGAAGCTTCTTGGATGAAAAGCGAAATGTCTTCTAGGAAAAAAAAACCAGAAAGTCCAGTTGCCTCTTGAAAAATTACCTTTTGGGACAAGCGTTTTAATAGTATATAAATCAAATTGGAAGGAATGTCCACAAAAGACTCCATTCTTCAGGGGGGGAAAAAGCTCACGGTGTTGGTATTCCTTTGGTATGACCAGGAGAGCTTGCCATCATTTGACTATGAGGATACTAGTTCCGAAGACATAGTAGAGCAAATGACACCTC